TTACCACGTGACGCTACTTTTCCTGACGAATAGTTTCTGTGGAAATGTCTCTTTAGAAACTGTTCAAGTCGCGCACAAAGTTTCCCGATAAATCCTTTAAAAGAAACCTTCCAATAACAATCGTATATTATGGCTGTTGCAGTTTCTTACAGAGTTTCCAGAAACTTATTCGCCGATGTTATGAGTATGAAATAATCTAATGAGGGCTTTAATTCTAAACAATGTAAGAAGATTCTGATCAGACCTTATTATTTATAAAATAAAATATCCATTTAAAAAGCAATTTTTACCAAATAATGTTTATATTTCTGTATGTTCGTTAAGCATTAATATACATATATATATATAACAAAGATACATGAGCAAAACTTACAATGTCCAAATGAATAACGCGAGAGATTTCATTTGCATAAATATAAATCCATTGTTACCGTATGCAAGGTCTGCCAGTCTTTCTTACACTCTGTAAGTAAATCATATCATTTATGGGATAATATTTAACGAATAAGGGTCCGACAAAAAAAAACATCATCTCGAGGATGACTTACCACCTATTATGAATCGCGCATCTAAATAAATATTAACGATCGATTTTGTCTCGCTATCGTTTTTTTTTTTTCACAGCTTTTTAGAGACTACGCATTACCTACGGGATAAAGCGCTCGATGTGTTCTATTACACGGTAACCATAAGAGATGCGATTATCTTTGGGCAAATTACACGTAATTTATGTTGCGCGTGTATACAGGAGAAATCATAATACCCACTAGTAGTAACATTCGTCGCTGATTCCTAAATTTCGTATTTCACGGATTACAATGGCGATCAGAAACATTTGCACTGCAAGCACAATTTCTAAGTTCCAAGAGCGTCGCGGAAATTTTGATTGGAAATACTAATATCACCCATGCTAAAATCTAATTTCTAATGAAGAAATGTCGTATGCGATCCAAACGCAAATGACTGACGAACAATTTAGCGATCGAAACAAAACGGGAACTGCGAAAAATGATGAAAACATACAAGCCAAAAACTGCGATACGCAAGTCTAACCCAATCCAATCTCTCGCAGTTATCTCATCTCGGCCCGTAGTAAAGCGATTAAAAACTACACCAAATCACGCAGCATCGTTCGATTTAGTGGCATCACTTTCCCTACTACGTTTAGGGATACTCACTACTCACTACAATTGAGAGAAACGAAAGCGCACGATGAGTAAAATCTCCGGATATCGCCAATTTTCATTCTTTCCGTTTTCCTCCATTTTTATTCATTTTTCAGATTTTTCTAGACTGTGCCGACATTGTCAATTATTATACAGTTGTTTAAAAATGTGTCGCTCGATATTAATCCGCGATTAGTATAAAAGTATATAATGGATCAGAGAAATATAAATGGAATAGAATTTGTAAGAATGTCTCATCCGTTTCGATCGTCGTGCACTTTTGTTTGAGTAAATATTTCGATTAGTGTTCACTTGTCATCTACGAAGGCGCGCACGGAGCGCTGGGAATTCACGACGCCACTCGATAATTTATCAATCTCTCGACTTTTATTTGCAAATACTGTTACGGTGAATAAAAATTTTCTGCTTCGTCTTCACGATCTAGTTCCCATCGCCAGGTGCGTCGGTATATAATACGATCTCTCTATAATTCTTAAATCGCTAATTAAATAGATCTATCTGCTTACGCATACTTTTTACCTATTATTATAAGGCATGGAGTATGTTACTTGTCCAGTCAAACTTCCATACTTGCCCTTCTCCCTTTCTCTTTCACATTTTCGCGCGACTCTCGCTCATCCTCTCTCGCTCGCTCTTTCTCTCTCTCTCTCTCTCTCGCTCGTCTCATTTAACTCCATCGTTCGATACCCTTTTTGTTTTTAAACCTACCTACCTCGCGATCTATCTATTACGCGTAAATGTCATAACGATCTCGTTCCTTTAATATTCTTCGTTGGAAACTAGTTTTTGTGTTTTTATGGTATGCTTAGTACACAGGTAAATACGCACTCTCCCCGTGAGCCGAAAAGAGAAGTGGACTCGGAAATTTCGTACGCCTCGTATTGGCACTCTTGTCTGCATTTTACGATTCGCCGAAGGTGCTCTGTGTGTCTTTTGGCCAGGGTTCTATATATCTCGCTTTTCAAAATCGAGGTCCATTCTCCGTTCAGAGCAGCACGATAATCGTATAATCGTAGGCGCTTGGTAACACAAGGGGGCTCCGGAAAGGAACCCCCCCATCGCGGTGTCGTAATTATCTCGTTATCTTTGTAATCGTATAACATTCGGTGACTATTTACAAGCTCGTTTATCTACTCTGGAGCAATTATGTGAACGATCGAAGAGTCAAAAACGCTACGACGTACTCTCTACCGCATGCTCCGTAATATAACACACGTGTAAGCATGAGAAGATGCAAACTTGCGATGACGCCGGTCGTGAAATCGAACAAAAGAATATATCGTTCTCATGAAAAATGTCTAAAAGGGTAGAAGTTTCGGAAAATAAGACAAATTATTACGACATCGGCGAAGAGATAATATCAAACTTCATTCAAGTATGAAGTAAAGTATGATAATTAAAACAACGGATGCATGTCTTTCTTCACATCGGCATCACTTCCTTTCATCTTAATGTCTTCCGCGTTATCAAGACAGTTTGAATAATACAAAATATAAACAATAATAGCGCGATCAATGTATCATTTCTTAAGAAAATTTTCAATTAGTTCCATCGAAATTTATCCTTAACGATCATCAATTTCAGAAATAAATTTATTTTCGTAAACAAGAACCCTTTCGCTGCACTTTTTTTATTCACGCAAAAATTTTATTTTCATAAAAAAAAAAGAAAAAAGAATATTTATTCCAATGTCTCATCAATGCGCAGATTTGCAAATATGAGAGGTTGCTGCGTGACTGAGTGTATATGGACATGGGAATATGTATGCGATGTGCATACATGGATATATGTATGTGTATGTGTATATATATATATATATATATATACACACATACATACATACATACATACATACATACATACATACATACGCGTCGTCACTTCGAGCGTTTCTGCAATAGACTGTAGTGAGTATCGTAATTAAGGCCGATTCAGTATTTTTCGCCTACTTCTCTCTGTGAATGATATTTCTTTTCTCTCGTAACATCTAAAATAAAATATATATTTATAATTAAATTAAATACTCTTTCCATTTTCTAACCCGTATATGATAAAATAAGAAAAAAAAAAAAGAAACTAAACCATAAACAAAACATAAATTCCTTAATAGACTTAACGATAAAAAGAGAAAGCAATATCGATTGGACCTCTTAGATTATAAGTAACAATAGGCCAGCGATAAAAGGATTGCTCTTATCTTAGGCTATTCGATTAGTTATATCGTTAAGCGAGCCAGTAACAAATCACAGTGTATACCATACTATATTCAATTCCCCTATTTAATAAAATTTTTAATACCATTCATTAAAAAATTTGATCGCGGTGAGATAGCAGTTATTAAACTCGGTAACTTTTTTCTCGTTGCTGTTACTTTTCACGCGGTTGTTTTAAAAACGCATCCCACTGCTTTCGCCGCTAATGACGAAAACAGACTGTCTGAACCGGGCTTAATCAGTCGGCTAATTTCGTAACTCGGCAAATCACGAATAACTGTCCCGCTAGATGAAAAAATCGTTAAAACCTCTGTGCCTTAGAAGACAGTTTTTGCACGATCACGCTTGTTATCGAACTGTTTCGATATACGTATAACGACCAGATCGACGAAAGCTGCAATCGTGCGAGAACACTTTAATTATGTATTTCATGTCATACATATCATCATTAAAATCTGCATGCACCCATTTTCTTCGCTGTAATCCTTTTTTTTTCATTTTTTGAAACGCTTTTATAGGCCGGCTTCTCCATGCCGCGCGCGCGAATCTTTATAAAAATCATATATATATATATATATATATATATATATATATATTATTATTATATATAT